TAACCACCATTCGATTACGAACAATAAGTGAAATATAGAGAAACTAAATTGTGAGAAAGATAACGAGAGGAAAAGCTGTGAAAAGAGGTGGGTGGGTGGATGAGTGAGGGGGAGAGATAAATTTCTATTCTATAAGGTTATGATTTTAAACTAATGCACTCGATTGTCCGTAATTTACTCCCTTCTCCTAAGCCCTCGGCCTCGTCCCTCTGTACGTGGGCGTGAACAAAATCACACGGTGAATGAGCCTACTTCCACCGACCATTACGTCCAGGATACAAGGACTAAATTACCTAGGGAGGCAAAAGATATAATAGAAGATCAAAAATAAAAAACCTGGAGAAAATAATATCTCCAACACGAGATATTATTAAAAAAAAAAAAGGGTAAAGAGCTTTCGTTTATTTTTTATGCGTGCATCATAATCCCTAGAAGACGAGAGGCGCGCATTGCGTGTTGGTCTTTTCCTCCGATGAGACGAAGAGACAGAGTCAAGAGAGGAGCGGATGGATAGGCGGAGCTTCTAAGATTCACTGGGCCTTTGACTTTTCCATTTTCCTCTCTCACTCTCTCTCTCTCTCCTTTTATTTCCGCCTTTTTTTCCTATATGGCCATGCTGCGAGTCTTCTCGAAATAAATGCCAAGTACACCCGCACCACAATTTTTATATTCTCCCTAACTGTAATTCATTCATATTTCCTCCCCCTCCAGTAAAAATACTCCTTACACTACAAAAAAAATACAATGTTTGATAAGATTTGTGGAAATATTCCTCTGGTTCAAGAAAATTATTTTCCCTCTTGATGTTCTGTTTTAACATCTGCATCACACTACCTCACTAATGACTCAATATTTTTCCACCCGCGAAAGCCTTGGCACAAGGTAAATATTGAACTCTATATCTATTTATGCATTGTATCACTCTGTTGAAGTGGTAAAACATGAAGGAGTCCATGGACTAATGTTCTCACTTCAACTAGTATAAAAGATACATGTTGGAAGCTGCAGTAACATTATTCATACCCTGTTGCCAAGTCTCTTTTACCAATGATGGTCATCACCCAGTGAGAAAGACCGAGAGACTTAGTCTTTGGCCCTCGATATCAAGAGTTTGAAGTTATTTAATGTAGGTTAGGCCCCAGTTTCTCATAAAATGCCCATTAAAACAGCATTAAAATTCATTGCGTTCAGGGGTGGAACATTCTAAAAAACTCTTGGATAATTTCTAATTTAAAAATCTGCATCGTCTTCATACTGTCCATCTTATTATGCATCCAGAAATACAGGAGACCATCAAATTACAGAACATGTGAGCAACCCGTGAGTACTTATAGGTACTACTGACGAGAATTATGAAAATACAGAGAGGATTCTATCTTTTAAATCATAAATTGCTATAGACTTTTGCGAAGTATCCCAAGTAATGAAAAATGAAGAAACGATGGCAAAGAGTTGGAGGGAAATTCAGTTGCGAGTATCAAAGTGAATTCGAAAAGTGGACATGGTCGACGCCTCGACGCCCGTTTTTTTTTCAGGGGGGGGTCAGGTAACGTGGCTCGGCACTCGAATTACCTCAATAAGGCAATACTCCCTCCTTCATGAACCACCCTTGTACACAAAACAAGGCAGAGGACAGTAGAGAGCGAAACGTTTGTACGTCGATAGGTGTAAAAGCGCTCAACAACTTCAATTTCAACTCTGAGTTTCTCTCTGAACAAAAGGTTCAAAGGACTTGAGGATTTCTGACAAGGAAATAAGGAATTGTCCATGCAGGAACAAAAAAATAAGATTGTATATACTTCAACCGATGTCGCATACGTTATAACCGGCATTCCTGCGAATTCCGGGTTTATACTGTGTCATGCCGTCCAACCCGTCGCCACGTCCACTTATGGCCATGTAACAGACACGCAGGGATTTTCTACGGCATTACTTGTACACCCGGAGGGCACATAATAGTTGTAGGACTGGGTGTTAGATGAGAGTTTCAATGGTTTTACTCGGTAGTACTGAGCAAGAGGGGAGGATGTACTCCTTTTCTACCCGAGAGATGATACACTGCTCAAGCTGAATAACCTCAGAGAATCCCAGAATGAGAAAATTCACGGAACAACGCATTCATCATATTTTCCATTCCCAGAAGTGAATTTCGTGGATTTCCACTGTCAACTCCACACTGATGAATACATTATTCAATGAATACCGAATTAAAAATCATAGAGTTCTTCATCCATGAATAAAATAGCTAATTTTCAACCGATAATCCAGTTGGTCTCGCCGGTTCCAGACCATCCCAATCCTGCACTTTTCTGCTAGATATTCTGGATGTTATAAATAAAATTCAATTCAGGTTCAAATTAAATTAACCAGAGACTCCCTGCAATTATTCAGACCTACTAATCAGTCATAACCCTCCGGGTGCGAATACACTGCAAATAGACACTAAATATCTCCTCGCAGAATAAACCCACAAAAAATCATCAACCCCCTGTAGCAAGTGCCCTCATCGCCATATTCCTCTTAATTACCGCATTACTCTTCTGTGTCTGACAATGGAAAATCACACCACGGCCATGCTGCTGCTCTCAAGCACCTACACCCATCTGCACACACTTGTCACGACAAAGGAGTCAAATAACGGGGGGTCTACAGTTGACGTCGGCCATATTAGTTTTGACCGTCGCTGAAGCATAGAGGAAATGAAAAAGAAAAAAAAAAAGAAAAAAATACGACCCTACCGGGTTGTAAAGAAAAGGGAGGGCATTTGCTAATCTCTTTCCCTTCAGAAGGTACTCGAGGCACCCCTCATTCCTTCAGGGTTTTATGTGAAACAGGCTCGGATCGGATCGGTTAAGGGGTCCTGGACTACAGGGGACTTTGCAGAAGACTTCCTTGTCAAGACTTGGTATTCGTATATGGTTTGTCCGAAAAATAAATTGAGGATGTCCTCTTAGCATGTGTCAACCGATCGATCGATTTAATTGATGAATGCACATGTGGTGCTTTTTATCTCCTTCCCGTAATCTCTTCCCTACCATCACCTCCTTTGGACTCCTGCGATCTGTATACCGGTTTCCATCGTCCTCGACGAAACAAAGGCCGTTGGAAGGTCGAGAGGCCCCCGAGGCAAACTCAGAAAAATGAGCAGCAGTGTGCCATTACGAAAATTATGCCCCGTCTCCTTCTTTTTCTCATCGTTTATTATCGAAAGTTCATCTCTACACTCTCACTAATTTTCCACCCTGATTCTAATTTACCCCAGCTATGTAATCATCAGGTGACTAGTGACTACTTCCGTTGTCACGCGATATTTCAGTATCGCGTTTCTCCATGTTGTTTTAGTTAATTTGTTTTCCTTTTTCCTTTGTAACTTGTCGATGTATCGGGTCGTTTTTTTTTTTCTTTTTGTAGTGGTGAATGGTGATAGTAGTGCGTGAGAATACAATAATCCTGGGAGGATTAGTTCCATTTCCGTCCCATGCTTTTATTTTCCACGGGCACATCTTTATTTATGTCACATACAACTGAGTGGCTTTCGTGACCACCACGAGACGACCAAGGATTTCCGAAATCTCTCTGAGTCTATCAGGATTTCCACTCGTGGGGGTGAATAGTATAAAGATCCCACTGAGAAACCGGATACGACGTATTTTTCACCTTTTCACCACCTATTCGGTATAATAATGATATGCAACATGAAAACGTGCGAAATGTTTGCGGTTTCGTTAGCGCGTGTTCAGTATGTGCAAATACAACTGTTAGTGAGAAGAAAAATGAGGGGAGGCTTCTCTTAGAATTAAGAGTACACGCGTCGTATATTTTCCTTCTAGACATTAATTACTCTTGCGCACGTCATCGCACCCCAGGGTTTGTACACCCGGTAAAGCTATACTCAGAAACGTTTTCACTATCGCAAATTAATGATAAAAACTGTGACGTTGTAGATTACGGCTGTTTATAAGTGTATCACGTATCAGCGGTCGTTTCGTATTTTTTTAATAGAAAAATTAGAAAGTGAAGAGAACGATTTTTATAACGATTTGAGAATAACAGTTGATGAAGAAAAGTCCAATCCATTCTAGCGTAATTGCTATGCCATTTTCATAATAATCATTGAATTCAGGTTAATCATTGAAAGACTGATGATTCAAATGCTTTAGCTCTTTGGAATCATCTAGTGCCAATAAAGTAATTTCAAGTCCGTGAATTCGATTTAATTTCAAAGCAATGGCTTCTCGAGATGGCATGAAACCATAGTATAACGGTGAATTTCTATCTACTTTTCATCAATCTCATCGATAGAACTGTAACACCATGAAAAATTAACCTCGTTGCACACAAACTTGTAAAACAGATTATACTATAATTTTTTCATGAATTCTCGGCATGCTGAACTTAATTCACAAAATAAAAAGACACCTGAGAGTAACAACGTCGAGCGAGATAAAAATAAACAGCAAATGCACCAGCGAGGGATACCTCTGCAAGATAAACAAACGATAAAACGTGTAAATTTATCGCATTATAGGTGTCGAGGAAAAACTTGTCACATCAACAATGTCGCGGACACGTCGGCAATTTTCGTCGCATAGAAATCGATTTAAATTTGAGAACAGAAAGGTCCGAAATCCTTTTCAATGCACTCTCGAGCTCGTTTGGTCTCGGTCCAAGAGCACTCGTCGATCGAGCCCCTTCAACTCTTTTTCGTACCCTTCGTGGTAGGACTACCAAAAAATTCTCAAGTTAAATCCAGCAAAATAGTAGAAGAAAAAAAACCATTTCACAATGAAATTTCGATGCGCCACAGTAAATACTTTGTAATTAGTCTCCAGAGTCGTTAAGACCTGGGATCTGGTTTAATTTACGATATGTCTTTTTTACGCAATCCAGAGCCCAATGTCAATATCTGTAGCCCGAAGTTAGAGTCTGTATTGGTAGGATGCAATGAAATAAGAGTCCGTGCACTTCTCTATATATATTATCACCCGATGAAAGGAAGTCTTTCTCAAGTGAATCTTTCAGTTGAAACACACCGATTTCCATCCACTCCCCCATCAGCACAATTGCGGTATCAGTGCTAGATCGTGCTTTTTTTTTTACCATAGATTTCCTCTCCCTCGGTATGAGGGAAGCAAAAAACGAGAGACGACTACCTAAGAGCCACAGCAAGATCGTAAAAAGTGAGTAATAAAAAAAAAAAACCCCGACGAAATATATAGTAATACATATATAAAAAAAAAGAGAGAAAAATCGTACGATTCGCATTGGTCTGTACGTTTTACGCTCTGTTAGAGGAGACCGGATAGGTGTAATAGGGGATGAGGAGGAGAGAAGACAGAGGAGAGGGAAACTCGAAGCAAAGATTTTACGATGGCCTCCTCAAACTCACTGGTAAGCTGATATTTCGGTTCCTCTTATTTTTCTACCGACTGACCTCCCCCGCAAGACGATACCCCATAGAAAAAATAAAAGAAAAAAAAACTCACGAAGAAGAGCACAAAATTTCTTCAGAAAGTGTAGCTGATGCGATTTAGCCAGTACAATCTAATTCCAGGGGAGGAAAATATGTGAGGCTTCGAAGTGCTCGGAAACCCGGAAACGCCATCGAATACAATATTATACGGATGTCAGGCGATATTTCTGTTTAAAAACGAGACACTACAGGGTAACAGCTGCGTTTCAATTTGACGTCATGCAGGCCCACTACCCATACGGCATCCATGAAAAAATTCAAGTGAAGGAGAAATGTTGGAATTGAAATGAAGGAGGCCCGCATATATCGCGTGACTCCGATTCCACTGCAATCGACAACAATATGGTTCTAGAGCTGTAACTACTATGTATCATATGATCTCCTTGTTTATCATACGGGGGATTGTACAGTTCTTTCATTGAAACACCACGTTTTAGGGGGGCTGGGTATCGAAGTAATGCAGTGTAATTGCTCGTGTCATCGGAATCACGGGGCTTTTTTCCTTATCGCTTGACGTGAAATATTGTTTGAATAATAAATGAAGGGAGAAGGTGTATCCTGTGATCGTTAAAACCGAATCAAATATGAATAGATTGCGACAGCAGTGGGCGAGTCTTATTGAGGGTCGTTGTATTTTTGGTTTATTTCTCTCTATTATTATCTGGTATGCGAGAGAATGGTTAGTAAAAAAAAAAAATAATGGGGAAAATGAGGATGTATCTTACCGCTTATTCTCCTCATTTCGCCGCCTGATTATCTCCAGCCGAATTGGCGGCGTGGCGGCGTAAAAACAGCTCACGTTGATTCAACAGTATGACGAGTATAGCGATTAAACACCATAACAAAGTTTCAACAATGTAAATCTGTAATCAAGTGGAATTAGGAGATAAATACATCGTGCGCATTTCAATTGAGTTCACTCCGAAGTTATTTGACTCTACGTGTTTTTATACTGAGACTGGCGGAGAAATTTCCAATACCGTTAGACACAGGACTGTTGAGCGCCTCCAATAATAATGAAACTTTGCCTACAAACAATTGAGGACAATTTGCCTACATAAAAAATCCTCCCGTGCACTCCCAGGATTTTCCACGACTATTAGGATTTAATCCCCTATACCATTGGAATATTTTCTCCTGCATCTAGTGCAATGAGAGAATTAAATTTTCAACAAACGATCATTCGATAACCATGATATAGTTACATTTTAAACATTTAAACCTCACTCCCTCTATTCGGCCCGTATATTTATCTTTTTCCACTTCACTTCAGATATACTCGTTGCGATTATTGTCAAACTATCACCTGCGTTGTATCGCCATAATGTTATAAATCGAGATATGTGTCCAGCGCGCCATGCCTCGAGACAACAGGACGCCGTAACTACAGGACGCCAATACACACTCAAAACCAAAAAAAAAATGCTCAATTGATATTTTTATATTGATCAATCACTGAATGTCAAATATCCATGGAAAAACAGCTGGTGAAAAATTTTCGATGATTGCAGGGAATGTTTAACAGCGATGAAATGGCACACGTCGACGCGTAAAGGTGGACAGTTTACGATAGAGGATACACAGAGCTCCCTACGCTCGCCCGAGCACTACTACTCGGCCTTAGTGCAACTAACCACCGCCAGAGCACCCGGGCGGGTCCATTGTCCCTCTAACCGTTCTCCAACCCCCACCACAACCACCCAAAATATCCTCCCTCCCTCCC